GGCTACAAGGAAATAAATGGCATCCTCAGACATTCGAATAAATTTATAGTGGAAAACAAACTATTATAGCTGAATTCACTCTATATGGTTTAAGGCGATGACTGGCAGTGGTATTTTCCCGCAAAATCAGGTAAAATAAGCCTTGCATGGGGAAATAAGGTTGCAGTTAGGAGAATGTGGATAATTTGAGCTCTACATCTAGAAAGAGGAAAGGAAACCAAGATTCAGTAGAATGATGACCGTATTCATGGTAATCTGAAGGTTACTTGTGTATATCCTCCTGCATACGATGGTATAACAAAATTTGCTAGCTATGCTCCCCACTCGTAAGTGAAGGAAAAGCTTGAGCTTGCACTCCACCTTATTAATAATGCATTTCAAAATACAATTTTCCTGCTTTTTGAACTACTCAGCTTAGATTCATACCTTGAACTAGCAAATTTAAATGCAAACAGGTAAAATCCCAAACAGGTAAAATCCCAAACAGGGCTAAATTCGAAGATATGAAGGACAAGATGGTGTATAGTCGAAGTTTCTTTACAATGTACAGAAGTGGGGAGACCTCGTCAAAGAAACGAGTTATAGCTTGGTGCTAAGAATAGTAAGATTCATTGAGGAGGCCGACTACAATGCGGGCAAAAGGTCTGAGAATGTACCAAGTCCATGATCCGACGGTGAAAATTATGATAACTAATATAGCAGAGGACTTCGGAAAAGATGCGTTTCGGACGAAACAAAAAAGTTTCGAAAAAGGTCTCAGTCCATTTATAAGGCCAGTTTCGTTGTGGTGAACAGTACGCATGAGTTCATAGCCAAAACATGACATATGAAAAGTTTATCTTTGCTGAAAGATTTATAAAACTGATGAATATTGGAAAAATTAGGCTCCTGGCAATTGTGTCCAACCAAAAAGTGAAAGATTTACGCCCTACCAGAACGAAGTTAAGAAACATATAAAAGCGGACTTTTGGGCTCCTTACCTTAATTACAATAGCCAAATGCTTAAGACGGACAGCTTCGATGTTCAGGCGAGTGACGGTCGGGTTGCCGCCTACTGCACGATCTGGTGAACTGCGCCGACTCAAGTTGACCAGACTCCAGAGCAGCCGCGGCCCGACTCTCTCGCCGACCGTAGCCTCGTCCCGAGATCCTGTCTCATGAAGGATCACTATTTTCCCGGTTAATTTGCCGCCAGAGTTATCAGGCCCGAACGCGGAGGCTGTTTCACCGCCTTGTCCACTTGCATCAAAAAGAACCGGCTTTGAGACTGGCGGACTGACAACGCGGAACTCAAGGCGAAAAACCTCAGTAAGCTCTCTGGGATAAGTGGACAGATATGACAAGTGGGAAATGCAGCAAAAATGAATTTTGGAAAATATATATATGAAAAATATGAATAAATATAATTCGTCAGCGTCAAACCTTGTAAAAATATAAGGAAAATAGAGAATAGATGACTTTGAGGGAAAGAGACGAATATAGCTTTATATAAATAGCTTTTAGAAATAAAAAGCGGATGGGAAAACGGATAAATATGCTTCCTACGGAAGTAAACTATGTTATATAATTTTAATAGCAATCGTTTTTATGATCTATGTAAAGACAGGGCAACAAATGAAGCAAGGTGAGTAACAATTTTTACTGTTT